CTCTCTCTCTCTCTCTCTCTCTCTCTCTCTCTCTCTCTCTCTCTCTCTCTCGCACACACACACACACACACACACACAAGCTCACACACATACACACACATACACACACACACACACACACACACACACACACACACACTATGCTCCATTATGGGCATTGTAAATAAACAAGGACACAAGATATATAAACAAACTTATTATTATGTGTTGAACTAAGTCATAACTACTGTATCTATTTCCTTCTCTAGGTGACATTTGAGGAGATATTCGCCGAACCTCACCCTACTGTGTACTCTTTCGACGGTGTCTGGACCACCAGTTACAAGGTAAGTTACTCCATCACTTATAAGGTGTGTCATTTTTAGAGTTAGTTCTTAAGTAGAAGAAGTAAAAAAAAAAGAAAGAAAAAATTGCGGCAGTCGAGAGGCAATGTCCAAAAGACAATTAACAGACCTCTATAATTAGCCCTAGTAGTGTTGTACATGCACGAGTGTTCGCTACACACGATTGCTCTTATTTGTTAATTCAAACTAATTAAACATCGTTACTGGTCAGTGAAGAGACCCGCCTCTTAAATAGTCTAATAGTGTAGATAGTGGCCACCTCATTTCAATGAAGAGCAGCAGTTCTCCTCTTTCATGAACCCTCTTTCCTCCACCCCCTGGTCTTGGGGGTGCGTAAGTCCGTGTCAGGGTTTTGGGAGAATTTTCTCAAAGTCCAATCGAGGCTACTTTTTGTTGAAAGTTTTTTTCATCTCAAAGAGTTGGGTGTCCGAAGAGACCTCTGTCATCCTCAGGGGTTCGTAGGGGAGGAAGTCAGAGAAACACTGTTACAGAGTAATGTCGAAAACGCAAGGGTCAGTGACGGGTGTAGCTTATTCGGGGTGCCCCATGGGGGATCGGGTCGGGTCGGGTCGGTTTGCAAGCCAGATTGGGGACGCAAAGCGTCTATCGTGGTACAAGCCGATCGCGCCCGACACGTAGCCTCAAAAACAAACGCGTTTGTTTTCAAGCGAAGAGTCGGGCGACCGACCCGACCCGACCCGATCCCACCCGCAATAGGCACCCGGTATTAAAATCAACGACAACCCAAAAATGCCACCCACTAAACTGTCGGAAATCACATTTCTTGACTTTCAAAGACTGAGATTATAATATTCCTCGAAATTGACGTTTCCGAAGTCTGTGATGTAGTGATCAGGGTATTTACTGTTCCTGGCTGATGACAGGAGTTCAATCCCCACACGAGGACAGATAATCCGTCCAGTATCTCAGTCTATGTTATGGAATGCTTCGTTCTCATCCCAGGTTGACCTTGACAGGCAGAGCGGGAGAAGCCCGCCTCCTACACTATGTAAACTATGTCAATGTGGGAGGGAAACATACAATTGTTTGGTTGTGTGGGAAGGCTGAGAGAGAGAGAGAGAGAGAGAGAGAGAGAGAGAGAGAGAGAGATAGAGATAGATAGATAGATAGACAGAGAGAGAGGGAGGGAGAGAGTGTGAGTGTGTGTGTGTGTGTGTGTGTGTGTGTGTGTGTGTGTGTGAGAGAGA